ATTTGATTATACAAAAAATCAATCGATTAAATAGTTATTTATGGGTTATAGATATCTTTTAAAATTGTTTTTAACATACATCTGTAATTATCTTGGCTTTGTGTGACTGACAGACCGAATAAAAAATAGATAACTATAAATATCTATTAAATTATAACATACACTTAACAGTGATGATATAATATATTAATATGAATTTAAAACCATGAATTTAGTTTCATATCTACTCTATCGCAGCATCGAAATGTTAAATAACGTCAAGCCAAAATCAACTTCACCTAGATGGTTGTATAACTTAAGTGTTGCGATGAGTGGAAGATAAATTACTAAATACATTTAATCATCAATAACACTAGTTAGTACAGAACATAGGAAAATAGACAAAAATATTTATTTTTATATTTAAAATTAAACCTATTCATCGACTTCTCACGTAAAAAACTCCTTTATAATTATATTGGATTATAATTCATAATCAAATAATATATGTATATTTCCAATAAAAAATTATAAAATAAATATAATTTAGTTTTTAAATACCTACTTACATACATATAGCGAATAGTCGAATACGATAATATTATAACTATTTCAAAAACTATAACAAATTAGAATTGTTTGCATTTTCATAATAATTTATTTCACCATTTTACCTTTTGCCTATGCCATTATAATGATTTTCGTCCTACGCAATTGTGTTATATATATATGTCAAGCAATATAGTATTAGAAATTTCCAAACTTAATTTCTGACTAGTATAATATTAAACATAACATATCTAATTGACATAAATAGTATAAATAGTGAAACACAAATAATAAAGTACTTATTATAACTTTCAATACAATGACAGTTGGCAAGTATAAACAATATTAGTTGAATCTGATATCTCTGATGGTTAAATGTAAATAATAACTGCGAAGCATTAGATAGAATTATTATATTTTTATACAGTTTTTAAATCAATTATCAGCCGTATCTACTAGTTAAAAAAATATATATATTTTTTCTCTCTCATTAAAAACGGCGCTCTTATATTCTTTTCAACTCCACTCAAGTGAAGTTAAAAAGTTGTTTATATACACGTAATACAACTTAACTAGTTAATGGCCGTTCTTGATTAGAGATGTGTAGTCTTATTAAACCTCAAAGAAATTTATGTAGCTTCTCATTTTTAATTTAATAAGAACATAGCCAAGGTATAATAGAATTTTTGAAAAGAGTTCATTATTTATTTTTTTTTCTGTATTTTATACTGAGTAACTCTTTTCTTTTATACTGTAAAAATTACTTAATTCGTAGTCATACGCAAAATATATTTATATAATTATATTTTGCACTCGGTTTAATCAAAAAGAATCAAAATCTAAAAAGTTTTTACTAGAAAAAAACAAAATTAATGTATCGTTATATGACATCAATCTAAAATATTCACTGAAATATTTTATTAAAACAACGAATAAAAGATAAATAAGTATTATAGGTTAGTTAAATAGTTTAAATTATATTGTATTTACCTAAGAATCATGTCGAAAAAAAAATTATTGAAAATTAAAGCTGTAATGTTGTTAAATAAATTACCCTTAGTGTAAACAATAAACAATATAAAATTTGTATAATAAATATAGACCCTCAGTATTTATAAGGTCATAAATAATAATGTTTTATATTATATGAAGTAACCCTTAAAATATAAATGCATAGATATCATTCAAAATTTTTAGTTATTGTTCCATACAATAAATATAAACTACAATAGGATTATTACATCGAATTATATATAAAACATGTCAAGAATACATTAGTCACAAATTGACGGTCAGTATATATATACGTATTTTAAATTGTTAATTTTATGAAAAAATGAAATAAAACTATAAAAGTAATAATAATATATTTTTGAAAATTTTATTTTTAACAATTATCAACGATAAGTAAACTACAACATAACTTGTGTAATAACTCTAGTGTAGGTATAAAAAATAATACTTTTTGTGAATTTGTATCAACAATAACGTACAATATGTATTTTTTTAAATTAATATTTTTTCGTTAAATATTTACGGTTTTGAATTCAGTAATAAATACAATTTTCAATAGGGATACTTCGTAATGCCATGTTTTCTAAAAACAGAATACAAATGTATTCCAATAAAAAAAATGACACGTTCAATAGAAATATGAAATCATAATTTAAATACACACACATACAAATATATCGTTTTTGAGCCAATTTGTTTTTCTGACACTTCACTTAATATAAATATATATATATATGTCTATATAAGTAATGAAAAGTACACGGGAGAGTAACCATGATATTTCGATCTCCGATTGGCGACGAAAACCCACAATTCTTTTGCTGTCAAGGATTTGTAAGAAGTCTGTGATTTGTTTATCGATAACAGCACTTTCACAACTTATTCCCGCATCTTCGTTGATTTCCGTTTTCTTTTTGTCGCGTAAAAACGATTTTAACGATTACTTCACCAATACACACATATTTATTCTGCAGTGTCCACACACTGTTAGGCTGGGAAAATTTTAAAACCATGGTATTTCTTAATATTCTTTTCCACGCAAATTCAAAAATATTTCATATTATATTATATTGCTACAGGCGATAAGACTGCGTATGTGTTCCTTCATTGTCATTGTCCACCTAGTTTCAAGTACCTCACTACCAACATTTTGTTTTAATACAACTTAAAAAAATATACTACTTTAGAATATTAAATTGATAATATGCGTTGTCACTAAAAAAGAAAAAACTCAAAAAATGATGTTTAATTTCACTAATAAAAATTTAAAAAAACAGTAAAATATATTTATTTATTTTTTATTTTTTTGCAATAATTTCAATTATCTAAAATCATTATTCTAAAAATGTTGTAATAGTTTTAAGAAAATAATTGTTTACATATAAAAGATCCTTTTGAATAGTTGACTAGTTAGCGGTATATAAATATTATTGGGCTATTAATTTCGTATAGGAGGCTCAGGAGAAAATTACGATATTGTTATATGAAGTTTAAAATATGTTATAAACAATTATACTATACACTTAATATTACTTGTTAAGGATACTGTAATTTTAATGAAAATTGCTAATGTCAAAGTCATTTGTTTTTAAACATTATTTAGTTAGAATAAATAACATGGTTCCAAGTATTATATTTTCAAGTTGATGGAAAAAAAACCAGAAAATAAACACAATATGACGTATGTATCATTTATACGTCATCCTAGAAAAATTATGGTTTATATAGAATCGTCTGAAAAATTCATACTTATATCTGTGCTACGCCTTTCCTCAAACATACCCACTTCCTTATTACTATACTCTTTTACTCACTTTTTAAGTAGTCTTTAAAACTTAGATAACTATTTTCAAACGTAATCCAAATAAGTAGTTTAACTTTTAAAATATTAACATAAATTAACTCTATAACTCTAAATAAAGCTATTTTAACTTTGTTAAAAACATAAAAAAATTAATATTTTAATATGTTTTTTTAATTTGTAATAAAGATTATTTAGTAAATCAAACAATATCAGTTTAAATGCATTATATTTTTGGTTGTCTAATACAGTAGAAATATTATAAAATCAAATTTTTTAAGTATTGGTTATAAAAATTATATAAATAAAATAATATCATTGACGACAAAAAAATCAATGAGATAGATATATGTCTGTATTTTTATCGGTACATGTTACATAGTATTAGAATAGCTTCTAAAAAAACAATAACAATTTAATCTATATTTAATTTCATTATATTATTTATTAGTATCTATGTCGATTTCAAATTTCAAAATATATGAATCATCAGATAAAATCATAAAATCCTTTCGTCTATTGAAATAATGAATATATTAATTGAATGACCTTCAATAATCTAAGTTATAAAACTACTGATAAATTATACAATAATGTTTTTAAATTGATTATTAATATGATACGTATATTAATGTTCTATAACATTTAAGATATATTAATAATAACAATTATACTATTGATATTAAATTATTAATGAAGCCGTACATCCTAGAAAATAAATGAACAAATTTTGATCATTAAAATTATTCATGTGCAAAAGAGCGATACAATTTCTTATGCGTAACTAATTTGAATAAGTAAATAAAACTGATAAAAGCCATTAGTCCTTTAGCAAATGTACATAACAGTAAGAGGAACTATAAAGAACAGCTAGTTAATCAATTGGAATTATAATAATATAATATATTGTAAACAATAAAAACTTTTAAGGTGAAGAATAACAAAGCATGTAACAAAAAAATTTTGTTTTTTGATTTGAGAATTTCTAAAAGTTAATTTATCTTGATAAGCAAATTTATATCATTACAGAAAGTTAGAAAATTATCAAATGTTAACATTTTAAAATAAATATTATAAATCAAATACATAATCTTTGAAAAATAATTTTATTATTTTCATAAAATAAATACTAGTAAGTGATATGAAGTATTCAACTAATAAGTAATAATTATTTGATTAATGATTAACTTATTTTTAACTATTGTCTTTGAAAATCGTAACAATAATCTATGCGAAAAAAAATAATATTTAAAAAAGAACTTATTGTAATTAATAATAATTATTTTTATTATTTTTGATAATTCAAATTAAATTATGGAGTTAACTATTGAAGTAATTAAAAATAAATATATTTCATGAAAATATTACAATGTTTTTATATATATTATTATTATTATTATTATTTTTTTACACTTTCAAAATTATGTGGTTTAATAATAAAAACATAGTGGAAATTATTAAATAACTACAAAAAATGATTATGATTTTATGTAAAACTGGCAACACTACAATCAATATTTATTATGGTGCATTCTAAATGTGTAACTCCAAATTCAAAAAATAAAAACATTTAAAAACTAGATAAATATTACGATCAGAAACATGTGCTGAAATACATGTACATGTAACTACTATATTAAAATACGGTAATGTTTACCTGGAAGTTTTTTTGATATTTCTTGTAGCTCTTTTAGATTTGGAGATATAAAGGAAAATGCTTTCCACATATCCGAATAAAATGGTTTGGAAGCCACAGCAATGTCAGTAGTTTCAAAGTATACTGCAGAGCACAACAAATCATAAATTACTGGAGAAACTATAGAATATCCAAAACAGATTTACTCCGTTTTTGACAACCGAACCCTTACCTGGTATATTTTCTTCGTTACAAAATCCAATTACAAATTCCATTGTCTCCGGACAAACATTGCCATCCATAACCACAAGTGGACTTTGATACAACGCATCAATGTTTTTTTTTATCTATGATAACAATATCAATGATGTGATTCATGAAATAATAATACAATTTATTTAAAAAAAAAAATTATTACACAGATTATTTATAATAATTTTAAGTGAATTAAAAATATACCAAATTAAATTACTTAAAAAAAAAAAAAATATTAGAACTATTTAAACTTTAAAATGTCATTGAGTTTGATACATGAAATAGAGCAAAATAAAGATTATTCAAAAATGGTCAACATAATTATGTTGAAAATAAGTGATTTTTTATACTCTAATTTCAGTTAATATTGTTTAAGTAGAAAAAAAATTAAGTTCAAATCTCAAAAATTTTAAAATAGAGTTATTAATTACATTTAAAATTTCAGAAAATCAAATTTTGAACAACTGCATTATAAAAGAAAAAAAAATAGGTAAGTCCAAAGAGGATTTTTTTAAATTTTTGTCACTGATCTAAGTTGTTAAAACCATAAATAATTTTAACTTAAAAAAGTAATAAAAATCCAACATAGTTGTAAAATTAACTGCTCATAATCTTCAAGGTGGGTTTATTCTATTTTTTTTTTAATTGAGCATTGAGTATTAATAAATTAAAAATGAAATACAATTAATTAAAAATGACTTTGACATGCCAACAGTTATTGTACTAATGCCGAAATTGATTGTTTTAGAACTATGAGATAAATGTGATTTATAACTATAAGCAATAGCAATTTAAAAATATATAATGCGACATTGTGTTTCATATGATTCAACTCGATCTTCAAATTGTAAACTTTTGATAGAATTAATTGAAAATAAACTTTTAAGTAATTGTATTCTACATTGTTATAAATTTATACGATTATCGTATTTGACAACTTTCTAAATGAATTTCTTTTAATATTTATTTAACTTTACAATAAATAACAAAACGATTTTATTATTATAAGCTAAACGGAATATACAAAATATTAAGTACCTAATAATTCATTTTAAATTCTTAGTCCATTAAGTAAATATTATTTCAGACAATAAAAGTAATTACAAAAACTTTAATTTTTATCAAGTCATTAAGTTAAAATGAATGTTTTATTACCTACTAAGATTTATTTGAATACCGCTCACATTATTTTGGTCATAATCATAAAAACTAAAGTAAATAAACTTTTAATTTCCTTACACTTAAAGGTATAATACATAGGTATCATTTCACACAGATATATATGGATATGTATTATGTATATAATGGCCTTTAAAAAATTTAATTTAATTTAAATTATGTGGCTGCATATTTTAGATATAATTTTATTGTTTTAATATCTATACAATCAATTATAAGTTATAACTTACATTATAATATATATTATTGGCCCTTGAATGAAATCTAAACTAAAAAATGTATTTATCAAGTTTCTAGAATTAAATTAATTTTATTTAGTAAAATTAAAACATCTAATAAAAATGTGTTCACTTAATTATAATTTATATTATTATACAATAAATACTATTATTGTAAAATATGTAACCTTATTAAATTTTTTTATTTATTAATTAATATTTTTTTTCTACAAGGTTTTAACAAATAAAGTTAAGTTTACAGTTGTGGTTTACATTAACATGTTATTTTATAAATATTATAAAGATAATATATAATTTGATAATTCCTTATGTATTGTACCTAACCTTATAACATTAAAATAATATAAAAATACGATGTACGTAACTAATAATCATTGCCGATAAAGTTGTGAAATAAATATGTATACGGATATACAATATGTTATGTATCATTAATAAAAACATTTAGTAGGTAATTTTATCTTTAGCAAATTTATATTTATATTGTACATTTAAATTCATTCAATGTATTTCATTAATTTATTATTTTTCATTTTATATAATAAATAAAAGTATATTCAAATATTTCAAATAAAAAATTAAGTTCTTAATTTTTATTTTTTATTATTACCATATAAATAAAATATTATAATAATTAATAAAGCCTAAAAAGTTAAAACTAATAGTAATAATTGAGTGATCAAATATTCGATGTTGTCAAAACAATTAAAATATTAACTTGATAAATTAAATTCAATCACATCGACGGTATCAAGAAATTCAATTAACAGAGAAAACAAATTATTCAACTGAGAATTTTAGGTATATTAGGAGGTATATTAGGTACCTATCCACACTGTTATATGTGCGATTACGTCGCTTGTCTACTATTAAATCATTTCGATAATATTTCAAAAGGAATTATATTACATATTATAATCTAACAGGCCAAGTCCATAAATTATCATGTCAATATTTATTCGTTTGTGGCATTCCATGTCACCGATGCAAGCCATGCAATCGCCATGTTGGCTCTGGAACACTACGCACCAAGACGTCGACTGATTATTGGCAACGACGATTTTGTCTGTGTTCTATAAAAATGATCTGAATGATATAGAAAATGTGTAAAGCATAACGACGTGAATGAAAAAATAATACTAACTATGTGGTCGAGCGATTTGATTATCGTATCGCCGTTCGAGTCGTCCCCGACAGCGGACAAAAAACAGACATCGTGTCCGAACCGGCCCAAAGCGTCCGCTATATTTCTACCGACCCCGCCACTGACACGTTTCATTTGACCCGCCAACATACGACCGTCTAACTGAAACATAACATGTGCATAATAATATTAAAAATCAGTATAGTTATACATATCGTATTCGTATGACACTATGGTATAATTTTATTAATTCATTGAATACATCCAAAGAATATCCGATAGATATTTTGCTTACGTAGTTGCACGTATGTTTTAACTATAAGCTAATCTTGAAAAATATAACTATTCAATAAATGTGCACACGTGCTATTTTACAAAACTGTGAATTCTCATTAAATATACAATGCTATACCAAGATTTGATCGGTTTATATAAGCTTTCAATTTGTATCATTCCAACTAGTAATTATTAAATAACGTATAGCAAATCTGTTACGAGGATATGATTCACTTTCGCGCCCTTTGTAGTGTATATTATTAGCATAATTATAAACAAAATAAAATCTTTAACAAACAATGTGTTTCTTTTAGAAATAAACAAATAGCTACAAAATAATTGATTAATAAAAAATCAATTTTTATTTAAAATATAATGAAATACTTAGATATTTCAATCGCTTATATCGCTTTATAGTTAAAAACTTATTGCGATTCAATTATTAATTGCATTCGTTAAAAATTCCTATAAACGATTAGTTTCAAAGTTACAACGTTTAAAGATAATATCTACAGTAAATACACAGGGTGAATCACAAAGCATGCTCTTCTCCCGTATTTCCTTAGATAATAAATTTATTAAAATACTGATTCTTGCAATTTTCAAGTAAAGATGTTTTATACTATTTAATTCGTGTTCTGTTATATACGCTTATCTTTTCAAACAGGAACTAATATTTTTTATTGTAAACTTTTAAGCTGATAACTTGACAAATGAAAATTTTTTGAATTGTATAACATTGTAAACTAAGGATAATAGATAATTCAATGATAGTATAATGATTTAAAAACTGTAATAATTACTAATTTATAATGACATAATAAAATTTTATAATTTGTGAAAATTGTCTCAGTTCATATCATAAGTTCTTTCAATACAAATCTTGAATAGATGAAAATGAAGATACATTAGAATTAATAAACTTAAACATTTCTTTTAACTTAATTTTTTAACAATTTTTTGGTTTTAATGTGAACATGAATACATTAATATTTTTTACTATAAATATTACACACATAACAAACTTACGAATTTTCATTACATTCTTACATAAAAGTAAAATATTATAGAATATTATAAAACCTACAATAAAACGAACAGGATCGAATAAACTTTGGGATGACCGAAAACTTTAATGATACAGTCGGGTCAAACTCTAAGGCAAAACAAAAAAGTTTTTAACTTTTTAAATTTAACCAATCTAATTTATAAATTATAATGTAATCTATAGTAAATACTGTAACTAATTTTATTCTATTACCTAAGTAATTGTAACTAATGCCTCAGTAACCGAGTCATTGTTATAAAAACCAAAATCACAAAAAAATAATAAATAATATGAGATATTAATTACCTAAATACAAAACAGTGGTAATTTTTTAAAAATAAAAATAACTTTTTTTATAATTTAACCTATATTTTGATAGTCTATTAAATTAGTAAAAATATCTTAGAAAAGTTGTTTATTTTCTTGTAAGTTATAAAATATACATGTTCTAAAAACACACCAGTCAATTTACACGTATTTAATTTAATTTATGAACAGGCTAAGAAAATATAAATGAACATGATGCCACGCAGGAAAGTTGTGAAACAATACTTGGTTCGTTAAGCTTTATACTGGGCACTATAGGTTCCATAGAAATTCGTCAAACAATTTATCCTTAAACAACCTCACTATTACCAGATGCTATACAAATTTAAGCATTTATTAAGCCTTAAAAACACTTTATAGGATAAGTAAAGCCAAGCAAAATTACAAGCCACAAATAAAATTCTAATTTTAGTATGGATAAATTAAAGCATAGCCTCAGGACAGTAAGTTTGCGTAATTAGGTCAATTAAATGTCTATTTAAAAATATATATATATATATATATATATATGAAAACAAATAATGAGTTAACGAATCTAAAATAATTTATCAATCATCATAATATACATACTATATAATATATGATGTCCAACCTTTTTTCTTTGGCGGGCCACTTTGGTAAACAATTATCTTCAAGCGGGTCACAAAGTATAAAAGTACAAAAATAATCTTATATATTGGACTTGTTTTCTTATCTTTTATTGTCTATTGAAAAGATTATGAATTGAGGTACACATCGTAGGTAATAGGTATACATTAATTTGATCAGTTCGTTATTTTAAGTACACGGGTGATATCGATATTTAATTGTAAAGTTTCCGTATGAAAATTTCAGACAGAAAAAAACGAAAATATAATGATGATTTTACTGTGATGAATTTCAAAAAATGAAACAAAACGATATTTTAAAATTGTATTCAAAATTCCACACAAAGATTTCCCTGCTTTAAGAAACTTTATAATAAAAATGGCTACTGTATTTGACTTGACGTATGTATGCGAACAGATATTTTCAAAAATGAAACAAACAAAATCGGTTCATGGATCGCGACTTACGGATGAACACTTTCATTCAATTTTGAGGATTTTGAGCAATTTTTATTCGTCGTAAATCCTAAGCACGGTCTTGAACATAATGTGAAAAATAACTGAAACTTGACTAACACAATAAAATAACTAATATTTTACAGTACCATAATATGTGATTTGGTTTTATTTATTAAGAATACGGCATATTTGTATAATAAACAATACAATCAAACTGAATAATGGTAAAAAAATATTACTATAAAGTTAGACATATTGTGAAATGTAAAAATAAACACAATGTATAATTGATGATTTTATTTAAAGACATGTTCGTTATTTACGCAAAGTGGCTATGCGTTTTACAAAATATAATATAATTGTAATTACTTCATAGTTAGATGCTATGTTCTATTTTGAGAGTTCGCAAAATTGTAGATGATAAATAAAACGTACGCTGCTTATGAAATATAATAATAAGTATATTAAATAATTGATGTTTAAATTGTTATTATTATGATTACAAAACATCGAATAAAGTACATCATATGAGTAAAATATAAAGTGTAGCCGACATAACAATTTTTATGATGAACAATATATTATAATGTTAAACGAGACTGAGGAAAACGGATATTGGCGGATGGATATGCAAACAGATAGCAACGCAGTGAATATAATCGATGTGATAAATCAGCATTGATGTTAAGCACTAATATATGCCGGTAAACGTACACTACCCGTGAAGCTTATTCACTCAGTTGACAATTAATTAACTAGTAATCGGTGATCTATACATTTATTAAACAGTGTACCAAAATGCATGCCAGCACAAACACATTGATATGGGCCAAAATAGAGGAAAATAAATTGAAATATTTATACCGTGATCAATCAAATTGATTTACAATATACCATACAGTATAAGAATTATGTTATATACAAAACATATTAGTTGAAATTAATATGCACACGTAATATTTATCCTGTTGCCCGTGTAAAATAATTTGTGCAAAACTAATTCACAATAAAATCCGATGACAAAATAAAAATATCACACCGATATAAGAAAATTTCGAATTCGATTTCGTTACTAAAATTACAGTAATAATTCAATTTTAATATTTATTGGAGAAAACACAATGTGATATTAACTTGTCAGCTATTTTAAATTTAACAGATATAGATTAGGTGCGATTTCGTCAACAGACAATTTCTCACAAAATCGTATTACCATAATTACGTACATAACGGTAAAGGTCCTTTGACATTAGAAAAATTCAAAAAATATATATTTATTTTTTTTTTCATATTAAAATAGTTAGATTTTTATAGCAGTCTATACATAATGATAGGACGCACACACAACACACACTTGCGCATACACGATCACATTGATCAAAATAAATATGCGAATCAAACTCTTTACTTGGCGTGGATGCAGACTACGAAGAAGTATGGAAATATACGAAACGTCGAAACACATATAATAGTACGTGCGGTGTCCGTTAAAGATAAGTCGCGATTAAAATTCATGAGACCATAAAAAAATGACGCGTTTTCTTATCGGGGTCGGAGGTGAGTGGACGTGATAGCAGTGACGAGGAAGAACCGAAAACTTATTCGATATAAATGCGAGAGCCTTTTCTCTTTCCTCGTCCTTCCCTCTTTCTCACTCACGCACTTCATAACTGTTTTCGCCATCTCTCCTTTTCTCTTTTTCGCTCGTCGTTGTCGTATATATTCCATCTCGTTGTTCTGTCTTTTTCCTTTGGCGCATTTACCACACCGTTCATCATTCCACAAATGAGATATAATAATAATTGGAAGGTAAAAGTAAAAGAGGTAAAAAGGGTTCGACGGAGTGAGTGTAGGGGTCAAGACACAGGACAGATTTTACCGAGATGAAGCCTAAATTGGCGACTGGGGGAATGATGGCGCGCGCGGTTGACGCATTGTGGAGCAGGGACCACAGCGGTGAAGGGCAAGGTGGATTGTCAGGATCGGTACCAGAGCAAGCGGTGAGGGATAGTTCACAGGAAAGAGTGCGAAGGTGGGTGGTATAGTGCTGGTGATGGGTGGAAAAGGCAGTGGCAGTGAGAAAGCGAGTGAAAAACAGCGAGAAAGAGAGAGAATAGACGTGATAGAACGTGTGGTAGCGGAGAGTGGTCGTATTAACTGGTTTCCATGGTAACCTTTTGATGCGTAGTGCAGTGCTGGGATAAAACCAGGCGCGCGTCATACTCTCTCTCTCACACACACCACCCATCTTGCTCTCTCAGTCCTCCCTCGCACACTCTCTCTCTTTCTCTTTCTTTCACCCTTTCTATCACACTCTACACAGCGTGCTTCCACTTTTATCGATTCGGCGACCACATAACCAACCCATTTAAATATTTTCAAGAACACGTTATTGTAATGTGCGTGTAAATGTGTGTGTGTACTTGTGTGCGTGCTTACGTGTGTATATGTGTGACGTGTGTGCGTGTGTGCCTGTATTTGTACGTCTCTATATGTATGCGAATGGGATGGGATGTTGATGGTATGAATGTTTGAGTAAAGAAAAAGTAAAGGGTGTTAGGTGTCTGTATGTGTATGCGAATGTGTACATGTACATTTATGAACGTATATGAATACGTTTATTTATTATTTTAATATATTTTGTGTGCGAAGAATCTTGGACTTTCTGTAGGCCAAGGCGAACTTTATCGATTCGATTAGCTATAATATATAAATATATATATAATTGGGAAATATATATAGCATACTGTTTACAAAACACAATATTATTAAAAACGTTGTCGCCGACGCTACTCATTATATCATACCTGCTTTAACATAATCTAACAACCAACACACGCTATAGGCGCTATAGCCTATATCTGTCTGTCGCAACACGATAACATAAAACAACATCACATGTCGAAACGCGATGGTTAACGTATTGACATTTAATACGCAAGGCCGTTTGTCCCCAAAAAAATAATAATAATAATAATGATAATAAAATAATAATAAATATCTTCACCATCGAGTTTTAGCGTGTGGTACTTATAATATATAATTACAATACGCCAACGACCGCTACACCATAACTACCATTGTATACAACGATTATCAAGATAATAGAAAAGAAAATTATAAAAAAAAGAAATCAGTACACAATTACAGATCGGGCGAGCTGTTCCATAATGTACCTGTTGATTTTGAACCCTTAACGCCGCGCCGGCGTGCCATTCTCTCACTTACTTTTTCTCTCTCACACACATACACACTCACTCTTTCTCCTCTTTCCCTTTCCCCCTATCACTCACTCATTCTTCTCATTTATTCTAACTACCTAACTTCCCCTTAATTTTGAAGTTGTCCAATTATTGTACCGAAACTAAATTAATCACTATTGTGTATAAACTGTTAAGCTATTAATTTTTTATCACATTATTATTATTAGGTACTTATTTTAGGTAATCTAACATCATTCGAGTTATGTATATATTGACGAAATACACAGAATATACCAATGGTACTCTATTGGCCGAGGGGACCGATGTTTTGGCTGTCAAAAAAGTTGTGTCGTTGTGCAGAGAAACGGATTTTTTTTTTTTTAAATTGAAAAAGTTCAATTTAACTGGCAAACTTGAGTCGTTTTTTCCGCATCCCAAATAAAATTTCCTTTGCATATTGTTCTGCAACCGTATTTTCCTAGAGTCGTTCGGGTAAATGAAATTCCTATCTACATTCTACTTTGGACGTTTCAACAAACAAAAAACAACCAACAAACAGAATGAACACCACCTGTTTTATGAAAAAAACTCACATAAAATACAACATACTTTATGAACACATGTATATTATATTATATATTATAGATGTATTAGACATTTTATTGTATTCGTTCAAGAAAAAATATTACAACTTCTCCCATCAAATCAATATGATGTATTTGTATTTGTAGCGCATAAGAGTAAAATATTGGATTTAAAATTCATTAATAATTACATAAAATACTATAAATAGCGGGTAAACAATAGTTTGTTAATTTCTAATTATTTACAATACTATATGCTCTCGTCTACGTCATGAAAACAAATCAACATAAAGAAATGTTTAACCATACAATAATTTAATCTAAAACTTAACATTCAAAATTCAAAACAAAAACATTTGCTTTAAAAATATTGTACAACATTTTCATGCAACTGTTATAGAGTATTTAATTATTAACTAATAAACTGAACTCTATATTATAACAATACACTTTTTGCTGATAATAACTACGAATAATTTAAACATTCACTTAGAAATAGACAATAGTTTATCTGATAAATCTATTTCAATAAAAATAATTTATCATTCACAACTACAGTTTTTAAAATAAAATATTCCAAAAAATCTTTATTCGGTAATTATCTTTTTATTTTTTTAGCTTATACTCTAAAATTAAATATAACTAATAAATATTTTAAAGTATAACTTAATGATTAAAGTGCAATGTGATACAAAAAAGTTTAATATTTGTTTATTTAATAAACTTAACAAATAATTATTTTTTTAAATTATTAAATACAAGTATCCATTAAGCCAAAAGAATGCACGTTTAAAATATATATATTAATATCTTAGAATTGCATTAACATTTTTGTAACGGATATAGTATTATAAACTAAAAAATTAATTAAGGAGTAAGATCGCACAAATTGTAAAAAATAATCCATTATTTGATAAAATATAATTGCATGATTTAACTTTTTACAATATTTCTAATTTCTGCATTATATCATATTGTATTGTTACAATATAAAAGTATAGAATGATTTCAATAGTAAGAATAAATAGTTTATAAAATATGTCAATATAAAATTTTTTAGACTCATAATATATTATAGTATTTATTAGTTATAATACTAGATAAATTAACTTATAAAAATAATCGATTAAATCATTGTCAACAGTATTTACATTGTTATGAATCTAAAAAAAATAAAAAGCATATAAATATATTATTATCAGGTAAATAGAGGATACTGAGTGAATAAAGATAGAATTTCATTTGAAACATTTGCATACCGTTTTGACAGTAGTTGTGGTTGTGTGCCAAAAAATAAAAATAATAAATAAATAAAAGGCGAAAAACAAAGGGAAAAGGTACAATTTAACCAGCTGTAAAGAAGGAGCGTAGAAAAAAAAGAATGCGAAAAAGAAGAAGAAAAAAGGCGTACTACTACTACCGGGTGTCCGAATCGCATAATAATTACAGATTTCGCCACCAGTACCGCATTGGCTACGGCGTCGCGTTACTCATTCATAGTGTGCGTTTGCACTGTAACACGGAAAGTTCTAAATGTGCGCGCTGGACAAATATAAATAGTAAAAAGTAAAATAAAAATATGCGAGATTCATTGGAATTTTTGTATTAAGTACTTGCTTTAAAATAAATAATATAAATTAGATACATTTTAATAAAATCTATTCTATTACATTTTTATTTATTATTATTGTTATTTTTGATAAAAAAAAAAAAAAAAAAATTATACGATTTATTAGCGTTCGTATCACAACGACTCGAACGCATTGAGATTACCAAACAAACAAATATTTAATATGTAATTGTATTCTCTACTCATAAATGCGTCCTATTCGATTGCGACAATCGGATAATATCTACATACAAGGCAAATGGCGGTGGGCCGAACAAACTAGACTGGGATTTCCAAAATGTGAGTACATAAAGTTAGAACTTATTATTTTGAATGAAATAATAATTGTTAATTATAATAAACTAAAAATTGATTTAGGGCTTTAGGGTTGACAGATGAATTGGTACTCTAAACTAAGGTTATTGTTTAACCGTATATATTGTTTAATATTTACCATACAGTACGGAACAATAAAAATAATGTTACCATTTCTCTTACAGAGTATATAGTAAGCACTATAAATTATAATGTACCTATAATAATATTAAAAACAATGTTATTAGACCAATATGTGGTGGTTGATTTAACAATATTTTTTTCGTTTAAATTTATTGTAATTGATACCTGTAATACTTGTTACATAAAATATATTATAATTAATAACACTAATAATATCCTATTCTCGATTTGTTCACTATACATTCTAACACATAGATAACTTTTAACGACTTAACGACTGTGATAACTTTTATACTAGTAACTAATAAGAAACAATGACTAATAGTATAACTTATAAGACATGATAAGATGTAATTAATAATGCGAACATTGTGTCAAGATTAATCGTGTAAGAATAATTATAGTAAATACTTCCGGTCATAATATGTATTAGCATAATATTATGACAGAATCATTAAAACAATATACATAATACTACGTAAAATCGTTAGGGTGCGGAAGTTAGCATAATTAGTTAGCGTTTATATGTAGTTACCAAATGGACCAAAAAAAAAAATAAATAAATAAAATAAAAAATAGCTAGATTTTTTATATGTTTTTATTCAACAGACAAAATTAATATAACATTTTATTTTCTATACTTCCTAATTTTATTTGGGCGCATATAATGTACCTATATCTATTTTTTTTTAATAATACTCTATATTTTTAAGTTGTGTATTTAGATGGTTTAAAAAAACATTTCATTATTTGGTACTCTTTTCATAAATATTTTAAAATGCTATTAATTATAGTTTTAATTTTCTGATTACAAAAACTTCTCGTCGAATAGAGAGAATAAGTTATTTTATTTGTATTTAAAATTATTTTAATATTTAAAAATGAAAACTCTCGGTTTCAATATAATATTAAATTAAATAAATATTAAAACAACTGTAAAAATAATCATAAAATACATTTAATAGCTGAAAAATTAAACGATACACTTAAATACAAAATACGTAGATAGGCATACTTGTTAGAACTCATTATAAAATCGTCATCATCATCACTACTATAATTTCTATCGTCTCTATAGGTAAGATTAATTAAGCGTCAACAATAATTAGGCTTTTTGCGAACGAACACTGTCACTTAAATTTATGGTCAAGCTCACTGAGACATTAACAACGGTGCCAATTTAACTCGAGTAAAGTTTTAACGAGACTAACAACAACAAAAAAGGGGATGTAAACGAATCGGTAATTTTCAATTTTGTTACATAATATCATCATCACACTTTCAAAAAGGATTTTATGGCTACTGTTTAACATTGTTATAAAAGACTTTTTTTAATTGAAATCAATTATGACTTAAATTAAAGAATCACAAAACAAAATAATAACGTTTGACTTAATTTAACAAGGTTTCGATATTTTCATAAAAAACAGGTCAATGTGTGCTATTTATCTTGGACAACAAAAACGCATAGGTACGCTAACATAAAAACAACTCTAAGCGGGTAGTATTACATACGTTATACAATCAATTTAATGGAAAATAATATGCCTATTGAACGTTTGCCGAGGAGTTGAAATTGGAAAATACGAAAAAAAAAGTACACTGTGAATAAACGTTCATGTGAGCAGATTTATCATGCACCTACCGTATCAGAATAGTAATAATAATAAAACGTACGCGTGTATCAATAATTCAAGCTTGAAAACATTAATTTACGCGAAGAAAAACGTTGTATTGTAATTTTATAATGTACACTGTGAATCTTCTGCAAAAAAAGTTTTTATATTTTTTTTTCAAATTCAGCGATTTTTAATATTTTTATAAATAGGTACATATATATATAATAATATAATTATAATACTACTATAAAGGTCACACTAATACCACCACCGCTGCCAACGTTATCGTCATCGTCAATAGCGTCTGTATACATGATTAAATATTACGAATTTAACGTAAAATGAATAAAACATTTTTCTTTTTGTTGACCTTTCGAAAATGCGCGTACGAACGATACACGTAAAATATAACATATTTATTACAAGACTTAAGTATGCGGCTACTGCCAAACTATTGGCTTTAGCGATGATCATTTTAACGAGGATGACTCAAAAATATTTGAATTTTGGGAATAATTAATCCACCATGAATAGAAAACCAAGCAGTAGTGTAAAATATATCAATATTTACGATTACTGTATCAGGTATTTGGTATACATTACAGCTAGAGTTGAACAATCATTGTAATTCATTAAATGAAATAATTGCTATAATTGATAGTTTTTTTTTATATTTTGAAGTCTCAATGAAGCAATGTATTAGTTTTATAGCAAAGTTAGTTTTTTTTTTTTACTTTGTGCCTATTGTCACCTTTATAAGCAGCAAAAATGGGACTTAATTTCTGATAATCAATAAGATCTAAATAAAAATAACTAAAATTTTAGTACATCATTGCTCATAAGTTATTTTTTCTGAAATAAAAAAAAAAACTAACGCAAATCCTCAAACTTTCACAGCATTGGATATTCCTATATATGATAACTTTACTATAATAATTTCTTCTCAAATAATATCAGATATTTTATGTAATTCAAAAATATTAGAAATTAAAATATTCTATCATTACTATAGCTATCATTTCCTGAGCACACAGAAAATTTTTGAATATTTAAACTAAAGAAAACTAAAAGTATTTAAGTTTATGCTACTTAAAGGTATTTTAAATTTCATAATTTTTGAATATTATGCATAATTTTAGTTATTTTGTTGCAATTTGAAAAATATTAATCGTAGAGACTTAATACTTTTATTCATTATGTTTATTATTACTTTCTATGTACAAAAACATATAAAAAATATTTGGATGAATTTTAAGCTATTAAAACATTTATACCATGAACCATTTTACATCGCTCTAGTGTTTTACTGTACATAAAGATTGAATTATAAGTTGTTAACATTGATATACAATGTAATATTTTAATAATTTAATAATTGTCATACTAATATTAGTTCAAATAGTTGAATTACTAAAAATAATATTGATCAATTAAAGTATAATATCTTTGGAAAAATAATCCACACGGAATCGTTTTTTATATTTAATTTAAATTAAACGGTTTAATTACAGATAATTGTTCGAAATACACTCGAAATCTACTAACTATATATAGCAGTGATTTCACCAGATTATTATATTTTAAATATAGTTTTACAATTTTTTGAATTTAATAGGTATTTTAAATGATGTTTACCAACAGTAACTACGTGTAAACGAACTCACGAAGTTAATGTTCTTAAATAAAAAACAACCAAACGGCCATAGTTTGGATTAGGACATTTAACAACGCAAATGATAGCTAATAATATCTCTACTCCTGCTTATTTTAACTACGAGTATTTAACTCTACGATATTTTACGACTGGCGCGCACTTTTCTCCTCGTCTCTCCCTTGCGTTCATGTACAATATACATGTATACATTTATTTACATGTCCATACGTTCAGGTAATCCTTATCGATTTCGTAACATTCCGCCGTTGACGTTCCGTACGTACTCCCACGCGCCCCATTTGCTCTAGCGTCATACGGTCGGTATAAAAAAAAAATCATTCTACGATTCCCCATAATCTAAAGTGGTATCTTGTAAACGGCTGTCGGGATCGTACGTATATTTCTGGCTCGGTGCGATATTCACGAAAAACGTTACACATAACGATGTTTCGAAGATTTGCCAATACTTCTTTTTTCCGTATACGCAGAACGAACAACGGGTCGCGGCTGCATGCGTTATAATCATAATATTAATATACCTAATGCAATAAATATATATTACATAATATTATCGTGTCGATTATACTTCCTGACCACCGAGATCCAATGCAAGAAAAATATATCGATTCGTCGTCCTGTACGAATAGGTGCGTATTGTATAGGTGGTACTCGTAAAACATGGATACTATGTTAATATTTTTATGTTGTGTATTGGCCACACGTACATAATATACATATTTAGGTAATTGGTGCGACTATAATCATATCGTAATAATCGCTCGTGACCACCACACATACACGAGTACAATATAAATATGCCTTTTTTTTGTAAAAAATGGGTGTCCCTACTGCGTCTGCGATGGCAATGTGAACTCAGAATACACACGCGAGTTGGACAATATTTGACTGCTCGTTAACTGCCACGGCGGCGTTTTAAACGTAATTATGTTGTAAGATTAAAACCAATCGATGTCCAATCATACCATGAAATCCATAATTAAGCTTAAACTATATGTTATTCTACACTTGGCTTTTATGTTTCGTTAATACTTTTAACAACCTGGGTAACAACAAGGCCGACTGTCTACAAAAAAATAGAAAATAAAACTTGACATTGTTTTTTTTTCTCCATCAATCATTGTATGCGTTTTGCTTGGGCACATTGATTGAGGATACAGCAATCAAAAGCAGAACTTATAAAATAAACTTGGTAAAAATTTAATTTGGGTATTTTCACGAGACAGCACTCATACAAAAATATCAAATGTTCATAATAATTATAAGCTTGAAATATTAAATAATCTAATTTCGTCAACTAATGTTTTAGCACTAATAAACACGAAAAAAAATTATTTCTTTGCTAAGTAAATATTGCTGATATGATATAAACAATAAATAAGTCGCCCCCTTTTTTTTTAATATGATACTTATAAAACCAAAATTTAATTGTGGATGTTTAGTTAAAATTATCTTATAATAATTTATACTATATAAAAGCATGAAATAGGTACTCTGGTATTTAGTAGGTATATCAAAAATGTAATTTAGGTTAGCACTAAGTTTAGATA